ATTGATTCTTTCTTTATTTTATTTTACCGCCGATAATATTACATGCACCTTTATGTTGCGAAATAATACTTGAGTTATACAACGATTGAGATTAAGATAAACAGTGACCCATTTTAATCGGATCGCGATTTTCCATAATTTATTGAATAAAAAAAAGCGGTTGATGTATACCAGCGTAGCAAAAAGTCGGGTATACATATTAATGCGATTTATAGATGCAAAAATAGTGCCTTTTCTGCACAGGAAGCGCCTTGGTTGTTGTTTGATACGACAACTGCACGAAATAAATAATTGTGAAAAATCAGGTATTTTCAGGTATGCGACTGCATTATGATATTTTTCAGGGGCGTTAATATTAATAAAGTAATATCTGGACATTTGAAAATTTAGGGAGAAAAAATCTGGTATTTACCAGATGCTTTCATTAAGGTGTGACGATATATATTATAATAATGCATTCGCATTTATCGCGCCGGCGAAAGCATCGGGAAATATGTTCGGAAATGAAATTTCGCCCGTTTATATTAAGATTTATATGACATGCATTTTTCTAGATGCGCAAGATTATTTTTTGCAGATCGTATGATAAATTGAATATTAAGAGAGGCGTGTGTCCGGGCTTTTGCGAGAGGGGCACATATAGAAAACTGCTATAAAATAGAATGATTTATATGCAGGAGACAGAAGAGTTACAAGTCTATGAATAGCAAAAAAAGAAAAATTGTGTATAAATGTTATACTTTTTCGCTCGAATTTCTGCGGGGGCAAAATTTTCGAAATCTCGCATGTCGGATTTCGGCAGAATTGCCTCCGAGCAAGATCCGCGCGGCGGTTTTATCGAGAACGTGCATCGCGGCTCGACACTTCTGCAGCAGCTCGACGCGAGAACGCGCGCCAGTTTCTCACAAAACTCCACCGAGCACTTTTATCGATTCCGCACGGATACGCGGAAATGTCCATCCCCCTTTTTTCTCCCTCCCGCCCCTCCGCCCCGTCGCACAATCCGCGCGCGTGTATAAACGCGTATACTATAATATCCACACGCGCGCGATTAGATTATTCAGGAGTTTTAATAGCCGCACTTAACGATTTATCGTCATATCAATCTGCGGTAACGAGCGGCCCGCTCTTGCGCGGCCGACAATAAATATTTACGCGTTTCCACGTTCCATTATCTTTTATTATTTCAGTATGAAATTATCCCCGATACTTTGTTGCGGGGCGCGCCGCTCCGTCGTGCCTATCGTTTAATCGCATATTTAACGCGTGTCGGCCAAACTGCTGACACTATAATGTTGTCGGCGCAACGCGCGTCGATTCTCCTGCGCCCCGCCTCTCTCTCTCTGTCTCTCTACCTCCTCCTCCCTCCCTTTTCCCGCCTCTCGACTGGTTAACCGTTTAATCAACAAATTCCTCGCACTTTCTGTTGCAGGTGAGTAACTCAACTTTACCAGGACGACGACGACGGCGACGGCGGGCCCGCAGTCGACGACACCTCATGCGAGCGGCGCGCCGCGCCGCGCCGCGCCGCGCGCCGACCGGGCCGAGCGATTACCCGCGCGTAATCGCCGAAGGCGATCGCGCCTCGCCGGTCGCCCCGGCTGTTTGTGCAGGAAAAAAACTTTTCCGTAAGTCCGACTGACTCGAATTAATGCTCATTACGGACACGCGAGGCACGTCGCGGTCGCAACGGTACTCGCACGCGATAAGATCGAATCGAATGACGGATGAAAGCGACATTATACTTTTATATATATATATATATATATATATATATATATATGTGTATATACATATATATGTGCCTCCGCGCGATCCAAGTAAGAGGAAAACCGCCGATTGTAATGAGAGAGGATTTTTCTCAGTGTGTTCCCGTTAGACTAAATTGATAATAATGATTCATTTTACATTAGCACAATTTAATATCTCTTTAATAAAATTTGTATCTCTTTTTATAGCTTTTAATTTTATATAAATTAGAAATATATACTGCGGGTATATTATGGGTATATAATTTTTAATATGAATTATAAGTACGTTTGATTTAAATATATAAAATCTTGAACACAACTGAATGAGCAACGTGCTTTTTTACAAAGTTTTTTTTTCATGGAAATTATCAATTCTCCTGCTTGAGTAATACGTAATGCATAATGCAGTTTTTAATCTGAAATGTTCTAGAGAGCGGCTATAGATTTCTAATCAAAGTTTTATTAAATTTTAATATAATTTAACGAAACATTACGTCACATTTTGTGTACTACATGCGACATTGAGGATAACATGAGGCTAATGAGAATAATGTTGACTGAAAAGGTCTTTAAAATGAGAGACACACAAGAGGTTTCCATATACAATGATCAATATTAAATACTCGTTGCGAAACCCGCTAATGAAAAACGTCGTATAACAAACTCTCGAGTCGCGTGTATCGGGAACGCTGGTGTCAAAGATCGAAGCCCACGTGTCTCGCGGAGAACAATTACGCCCATCCGATTGCTCTGGGGCGGGCGACTTTAACGGCGAGAGACAACAAAGGTGACTAGGCCAAGAGGGGGGGTAGGGGGAGGACCGAGGGAGTGAGGAGGGAGAGCTCTCGCGAGGGTGAGGGCGAAAAGGGGGGAAGGGTGGGTGAGGGGAGGAGGGGTATGGACATTAAAGGAGATTTCACGGTGCAGATTAAAATTTATCATAATCGTAAAGGCCTCTGCGCGGGGGTGAGGGGAATAGGAGGGCAGAGCGGGGGCGACGCGCCGCGCTCGGCGTTATTTACGATTTTTAATATGCAAAGCCGTCGTCCCCTCCCTCCCTCCCCCCCTCCCTCCTCTTCTCCGCCGCCGCCGTCCGCGCCCCGCCGCGTCTTTTTGCCGTTCGTGCGCGCGCGTCCGGGTATGAATAAACATTAAATTCCTCGTTACTCCTTTTAATAACTTTTTATACTTCATATTTTATTAATGCCAAGACATTCCGATCGCGGCCCGCTACGGCCACGGCGCGGCGCGGCGGGTTGCGCAACGTGATTTGCGTTTCAATAACGTCTCTCTACGTACACGCGCTAGCTTTTCTTGCCTCTTTTGTTTTCCTCCTCTTTCTCTCTCGTTCTCCGTATCTCTCGTTCCATTTCTCGGTCTCGTTCCCTTGCGCTCTCTCGTCTTTTTTCTTCCTCACTCCCACCTTCCCCGGGCGAAGATGACCACCGCCACCGCCGCCGCGGCCGCGGCTCGACGTCGCGAGGACGCCGTGAGGAAATCTGCGCGTCTCCTCGGCGCGCGCGATGCAGTAAAACTTTTATGTATTTATTATCGCACGATAACAAATGACGTCCCGCTGAAGTTATGTCACTCTCGCGTATTTCGCGATGGAGATACCCGCGCGATAGTTCCACCGGTCGAGAGAAGCTACGGTCTTTTTCCGGTTTAATTGAGTTAAACTCCCATTTTTATAATCCTAATTTAATACATCTCTCTCTCTCTCTCTCTCTCTCTCTCTCTCTCTCTCTCTCCCCCTCCCCCCCTCTCTCTCTCTATCTATCTATCTCTTTCTCTCTTTCTACGTAATCGAAATTGTACGGCACGTTTCGATAAAGAGAAATGAGATCTCAGTTCGCAATATGCATGCAAAATGAAAATTTTCTCTTCTTATCGACGTTATTTTCATTTTTTTGTACGCCTATTTTGTGTACATATTTAAACAATTTTGTCACAAATAAAAAAAATAACAATGACAGTTATATCGTATTGTTGGCTCAATGAAACTGTTAAGTTCTGAGGCTTCATGAGAGGAAAAGTGGGACATCGCCGCTCAAAGACTGTACTAGAATGCGTGAATCAAATCGTTGTCAATAGCGAGCAATTTCTATTATTTTTGGATTTGGCCGATAAATCGGTCAAACCTTTTTTTCTTCGCAAATGCATTTCATTGCATTATTACGAGGCACACAATTACTAGATATTAATCAATTCAAGTTAATTGAAAATCTGGCTATACAAGAATTCAGCATATATCTCTGCAAATGCGTAACACAGATAAAAATTAAAATACAAGATATAAAATCATATGTCACGTGTCATCAATGTAATCATACAATGTATTCACGCGTCGATATCAAGAGTAAGATCTCAACTCCTCGCAATGTAAGATTCTTCAGAATTTGTAGCGCAAAATAAGGTTATTGTGTCGAAAAGTCGCAAAGGTGAAACGCGGTCGATAAAATCACATCTTCTTTCTCGTCGATTCTTGCGGCGAGTCGAGGTTTAACGAGAAAATCGAAACGCAGTGCGTATAGTCGCGATCAAGGTAACGTAACGATACGTAAATATATGGATTGGAGAGGTGCTGCCTGCTGAACGGCACGTAGACATCGTAGCGCAGAGAGGAGAGAAAGTGCGCACGAGTAATCTCGTCTCCCCGCTGCACCGTACACTGGCCACGAAAGTAAAGAGAAAGACGCCGACACCGTTCTCGCGCGTGAAAGAGAGGAAAGTTCCGAGTACGATTTGAAAAGAAAACGATGTGCCGCACCAAACCCTCCTTATTTAATAACGTACGTTGCGAAATCACATATCGATAACGACGAAACGATCAACTATTACTCGTGCTTTGCGCTTCTCAATGAAAACGAGTCACATATTTAACATACTAATTATTATTTAACGCATCTATGTACCTGTTTATTACTGCCAGAGGTACTGCCATAAAAGAAGAATACTTGAGGCTTTTATTTGAGAAATGTTACATTATGTTATACGTCGTTATTTCATCTCGACAATTTGAACAGTGCTTATCACACAGCTTTGTTATTTCTTTCGTTTTTCCTTGTCAAAGCATAAATATATGCTCGTTTTGCTGTTCAAAAAGCGTATTTAAACGTATTAAAAGCGTAGATACGTTACGTCACATTCTTGCATTTAAAAAATACCTTTTCAATGATAATCTCTTATTGAAATAAAAATAAACATGAATAACAAAAATTTAGAAATCCCGTGTGTGCGGAATATAAAAAAAACAAATATATAAATATGTAAAAAAATCTCCAAAAGCAACGGTAAAAATTATTTGTTCTATTTGAGAAGATTCAGATTCGTATTACATGACAACTTCTACGCCTTACGGGATCATGTTTTCATACGCGACGTTGGCATTGAAAGGATATACTAGGGGCCCAACTGGTTTTCACTCCGAGCATTCACCGGTGAACCGCAGTCTGGTTCTTACCGGCGTTAGTTTCATACCGCTGCCATTTCGCCGGTTTATTCTCGGGCACTTTTTACGCCTCTGACAAAGTTGAAGCTTATCAATCAAGCAGGTTGGTTCTACGTAAACGTAAACGTGCACGTTGTGCCGCAGAATACAACTGACTGTGTGATTTGAATCGAATATGACCGGGTAAATATCGGGAAATAATGTCGCGGTCGATGTCACGAGAAAATGTAAGTAGTAAGTAAAGAAGATTGCCAGAGATCCAGTAAAGGTCAATAAAACGACGTGTGGAAAAGCAATGCGAAGATGCATGCAAGTGATGGATCAACGAGTTCAGTTGCACGGCACGTTACTGGCCTGAGAATGATAGATGTTATCTTAATTCGGATATTTTTGTGACGTGCAACATCCGCATTTGCAAGTGTGCCAGCGACGTCGAGGCGTCAGATAAAGTTACAATTCGATTCTTGCTAAATGAAACGTTCGTCTGGTCACTAATCATGTTGTCAGAAAGAAATAGGGTAAAGATATACCGCATGGAATGTGTGTGTAAATCACAAACGCTGATACCATTCTTGTAACATTTATTTTTTTTCTAGGAAGTTTTTGTGGAGTCTATGTGACAAGGTATGCTGTTCATTTTTTTTCAAAACACATAAATAATATTGACCTATAAAACAAAGCGTCTGAACGATCAATTACAGAAATCGCAATTAATAATTCAAGATTAGCGATATAATAAAAGTCTCACAAATGTTATGTAAAAAGGTAATCTTGATATTTCTTGTATCAAGAAATATTATTTCTATAAGGTTGAATTTTTATATCATTTCCTTATTATTTTCTACAAAAATTTTATACATAATTTCTTTCTATACTTTCTATACGTTTTAGACGATGCAAAATTCACTCGCATGTGACGTACAAAATATCATAGATACTTTAATTTTTTATTAAAAGTAAAATTAATTTATTAATTAGCGATTTACTTTCAGGCGGCTCTCTCATGTTGTCCATGCTTGAAAAAATAATTTTTTCGGTTGACATGCATTCGGATATCAACGTTTGGCGGTCAATATAAACGGAAATGGCAGCAGTATTAACAAGTTTGATCGGCACGACTTCCGTTCTTGGACTCGGTTTGATTCCACTTTTGGCCATCGGTCTCACCGTATATAGATATAATAGCCTAGATCCAGAATCGCATCCGCAAGATGCGCGAGAGGTATGAAGAGAAAATTAAACAGAGAAAGGGGAACTAGACAGAGAAATTTACTTGTATAACGTGTAGAATTTAAACAATTTTCCATACAGTCGATAAAACAGTATTCGTGATTCACTATCAACTACCGATCAAACGGATTCAAACGGATCTAGAATCGATAGATCAGCAGTATACAAATGCAGAAATGAACAAAAAGCTAGTCCCCATATGTTTCTATCTTACAATTAGCTGGATTTTAGCTCAGTTGACAGTTTCGGGGCGTAAAAATTCGTTTATAGTATTTAACACTTGGGATTATCACAGAATGGTATCTTATTATTCTTCTCTCTTGCGCGCGCGTACATGCGGTAATAAATGATTATGATTTAAAACTTTTGTAATTTTATGCGGAAATACTACATGTTACGCGACTCTTAATTATTTCAGAAAAATGTTTAAAACGCCCCAACTGTACATTATTTGTATATACTTTCTAATTGTTTCTAATGAGTCTATCAAATTATTTAAAATGCATCGATGTTGGTTATTAATAATATGTGACTGAATAATCGAATAGATAAAAAACTTATTCAAGTGCAAATGTAACATGTTTATTTTAAATTAATATTACGTTTCCTCTTCAAAATTAAATTCTTTTGCCTGTACATTTGCACTATACTTGAATTACATAATAAATTGCGATTTTAGTTGCTACGAATGTACGACTTCATAGTAGTCGGAGGTGGCAGTGCAGGTGCCGTGGTGGCCTCGAGATTATCGGAAGTAGCTAATTGGACAGTGCTACTCTTAGAAGCTGGCGATGATGAGAACGAAATTTCGGACGTTCCCCTATTCGCCTCATACACTCAGCTAACAGAATTTGATTGGAAGTACCAGACCTCACCTCCCAATACGTCCGCCTATTGTCTCGCCATGATAGGCGACAGGTGTAATTGGCCACGCGGTAGAGTACTAGGAGGCAGCAGTGTTCTTAACGCTATGATTTATGTTCGTGGTAACAGGTAAATATACACACACACCTATTTATTTCACTTTTATCGTTAGGACGTTAGCAAGTTGAATGGGGATCAAATGATAAATGAGATATTTATTTGTATAGGCATGATTATGACAACTGGGCTCGATTGGGTAACACGGGGTGGAGTTACGAGCAAGTACTCCCCTATTTCCTCAAGTCCGAGGACAATCGTAATCCGTATTTAGCAAGAACACCTTACCACGAGACAGGAGGTTACTTAACGGTGCAGGAGCCATCCTGGAGAACTCCTTTGGCGATCGCTTTTTTGCAGGCTGGTCAAGAGATGGGCTACGAAAATCGCGACATAAATGGATTCAATCAAACCGGGTTTATGTTGACGCAAGCGACGATTCGACGTGGCAGCCGATGCTCGACGGCAAAGGCCTTCTTACGACCGGTGAAAAATAGACCGAATCTGCACATAGCAATGCACGCTCAGGCTCTGAGGGTGCTCTTCAACGCCGACAAAAGGGCAACGGGGGTAGAATTCCTTCGCGACGGCAAACAACGGATCGTAAGATGCAGAAGAGAAGTTGTCTTATCCGCCGGCGCGATTAATTCGCCTCAATTACTCATGCTGTCCGGAATCGGTCCCAGCGAGCACTTGACCGAGTTCGGTATACCAGTGATATCCGATGTACGAGTTGGGGATAATCTTCAGGATCACGTAGGCCTTGGTGGGCTGACTTTCTTGGTGAATGAGCCGATCACTCTGACGAAGGAGCGATTTCAAACTGTTTCAGTGATGTTTGAATACATCGTGAAGGAACGAGGACCCCTGACTACTCCGGGAGTCGAGGCATTGGCCTTTCTTAATACCAAATACGCTGACAAGTCCGGTGATTATCCAGATGTGCAGTTTCACTTCGCACCAAGTTCTATTAACTCAAACGGTGAACAAATAAAAAAGATTCTCGGTTTGAGAGATCGTGTGTACAACATCATGTACAAGCCCTTGCATGGCGTCGAGACCTGGTCGATTCTGCCGCTTTTATTACGGCCCAAGAGCACAGGTTGGATCAGATTGAAGAGCAAAAATCCCTTAGTTCAACCAGATATCAATCCCAATTACTTCACGTATAAAGAAGACATGGACGTCCTCATCGAGGGAATCAGATTAGCAATGCGGGTGTCCAATACAAGCGCGTTTCAGCGATTCGGCTCAAGACCTCACACGATTCGTATGCCGGGCTGTCATAAATATCCGTTCGATACATATGAATATTGGGAGTGCGCCGTACGACACTTCACCTTCACAATTTACCATCCGACGAGTACTTGCAAGATGGGACCGCCGAGCGATTCCACGGCCGTCGTGGATCAGCGATTAAGAGTTTACGGAGTGAAGGGACTCAGGGTCGCCGACGCTTCAATAATGCCGACCATTGTCAGCGGCAATCCGAACGGGCCGACTATCATGATCGGCGAAAAAGCCAGTGATATTATCAAGGAGGATTGGCGAGTGAAGGCAAAGCGAAATACCGGACGTAGATAACGGATGCAGAAATCAAAATTTTGCAATTGTATACGTTATACAGTCGTTATATTATAACCAAAATTCCAATTATATGAGGATTATAATCACACGAGGATTGTCATTAAACTTTCTAACTTCTTCGCTCTTTCTTTTTATAATACATTCTTACAATAATAGTTCTTTTAGATCAATTATCTTATTGCCACTTATCGCAAGCGTCACTCACACGTAATTTTCATTTTCTTTTTTTATACAAATACGACGAAAGAATCTCTGCTTGTCAAAATTCGCATAATGTTCCAAATTAGCGCCAGTGATCGATATATAAAGATACATTTATAATAAAAAATTTATACGCTAAGATTATTATTTGTGAGATATCATCGATTATACGAATGTAATATCTGAATAGATTCTCTCATTAATTTTATTTATAAATGTATAAATATTAACGAATATTTGTTTTATGAACAGAGAGGATAAAGGAGGAAGGAAAAAGGGAAGGAGAGGAGAGGAGAGGAGAAAGAGAGAAGAGAGCAAGAGGAGAGCTTTGTGTATGTTAATTAGGGATGTGATACATTATTTATATATATATATATATATATATATATATATTTTAATACATGTATACATGTATTAAAATGTACATATATGTTAGAAAAAATGAGTGTTTCAGAGTCAAAGAAATAGAAATAGATTTTAATAATATTAATAATAAGTTAGAGTGGCAGTGCCATTCTATGTAAAATAATAATGTAAAAATATTAATTAATTTATTTTATTAAACATCAACTAATTATATCCTGTGTTTATTTTTCTATATCATGTGCGCGCGCATGCGCGCACGCACGCACACACAAAATACCCCTCCGTATACAATAACATATAATTTGTCAGCATCTTGGTACGAATCTCGATAACGATTCACTTTATACGGATAAATATTAAACTTAGTTTTATCTATTCAATCGGTAATAAATGCTCATAATTAAAAGTGCATTTCCTCGGTTGCGGGAACATGAACGCGAAAAGAATTATTCGATATTTCCAATGTACAAGAATGTGACGACTTTCGAATCGCAAGTGGGCGGATATGATTTTATATAACGTTGCATCTCGTGCCAAAAGTCGCGCGTGCCATGGCGAAGCGCATATTCTCACGCGTTCGCGCACATTTTTATTCTCTATTTCCGCTTCCTCATCTTATCTGTTAACGCATCTGATAGAACAAATATAGCAATTCAACGAAGCAATGCATACTGTTGTGAATTAACATTAATGTTATTTCCGCTTTTTCAACGTGTCTGCATGTATTTGACATTTCTTTGAATCACACTTTGCTCTCTCGATGTCTTTTTTATAATAAAAATTGATATCCGATTACGCAGATTCTTCCTTCTTTCAGTGTATTGGAATGTATACGAAATGTTATTTAGTGTATATGCGAAAAGAGGCGGATTAGCAAGAGAGTGAAAGTGACCGACTGCCGTCGTATTTACATCAGACTTTAGTCTGTTAACTTTACGCGCGAAAATGGCTTGCGTAAAGTAACAACTAATGAAAGAAAGTGTAGAGGAAAAAAGGTATATTCCCGAGAAACGTTTATTACACGAAAGTTTAGATAAACTTTCCTGTAATTTTTTAATCAAACACTTATCGCTTCGTATAACTAAAAGACCAAACTTTTGGAAATACAATAGACTGTGTATCGTGTATCATTTCGTGAGTGGCATTATATTGCTAGTGATAAATGCAGTATTCTGATTTAATTTATTTATTTGACAAGTGACTTTATCAAGTCTGAAAAAGTCACATGCTTTACATTTTTATGTCGTATTCTATTTATTGATCATGATGCAAGTCTATGTACTCCTTTTAGTGACACTTTGTGCAACACATGCATTCTTTCTTTTTTTCTTTTCGTTAACGAGAAATGTGGAAAGATGCTAGGAAAAACTGATTTGCTATCGTGCAGATAAAATTATAACGCGCTCATAAGAATTATTTCGTTATATTGTTTAAAGCAAAACAAAGCCAACCAATTATTCATTGTTACTCATTAATAACGCGTTTCCGCAAAAATATAAATAAATTTAAACGGAATCGTAATTCGCGTATTACGTGTGACTGCAATAATATGCTATTCAAATTATCAATGTAAACAATATAATGATTTAATAATAACACTGTATTTTCGATTTGTTGAAAATGGAAATTTTGCGTTGCAAAGTTTTCTATATAGCTTTACATATAAATGACAGAATCATGTATCGAGAGAACAGACCGCGCTCTGCGTGCTTCATCCTACCGCTTTTAGATTATCGCTTCTTATTCTACGCGGAAGCAGACTCAATCATGCTCCAATCTTCACAAGACTGTATCATTTTTTGTCGTGAGCGTACAAAAAGTAGTGACGTTCATGCGAATGTCATGCGGTTACCACACTATTGCTGGCTAGGGTGGGCAGGTGGGTGGGTGGGTAGGTAGGTAGGTAGGTAGGTAGGTAGGTAGGTAGGTAGGTAGGTGCGCGTATATGTAACCACAGGAAGAGAATACTTTCACTGACAGAGTGCGGCTGGGAGCCTTCGGGAAGGACAAGAAGAAAACTAAGCACAAATGAGAACGACAAGGACGGTGAGAGTGAAATGGATGGAGGTATATTGGTGCAGTACCGTGCCGTTCTTCCGACTATCATTACCGACTCCACAGCGGACACTCGACTGTTGTCGCGTCACCCGGTGAGCTTCCAATATCCAGAGACTCCTTCCGGTACATTTTGGCGATAACGAAAGATTTTCCTATCGCGAACAGTTCTTGTGATAAACGGTATCGATATGTTAATAATTCTGCAATTTTTCTTGCGTGTGAAAACATATTTAGAATAATTATCAAAGAGAATTTGCCGTATTTACTTATCAAACAGTGACAAAGTCAGTGTGTTGGTGCAATCTTGATCGAATCACAGGAGAATATCCTCAAGAATACGATACCATCAAGAAAACGATAAGAGAATACAAATTCCGCGCTAAAAATAGTGCCTTATATGTGTATGTAACGTGTAATGCTCCTGTTCTCGAATCATTATTACGCAAAGACTATTATAAAAACTTTGTATATATGGCATACAATATATACAATACATTCAATCAAGTTGATTATATAAGATTATACTTAGAATCTGATGATGGAAACGTTGCAAATGCACGATATTATTTTTTTAAAAGACTTCTATTCTCACTTATTATTATCTCACAATTAATGTCAAAAGCGTAAAAATATACAATAAAAATTCTAAAAAATATATATATTAATATGGAAATGTTTCAATAAAATAAAACTTACAATCGATATAACCGATTTGTTAAGTATATCGAAAACTTTTGTTTTATTAATTAATAAATAATCATATTTCTAAAAATGAATTATGCATAATTAAAAACGAAATAAGTCATGTTCATATGATTGATTGTTACAAATTAATAATATATAGAAATATGTAAATATGATTTAACTTCTCCCCGAAACGAGAAGATAATTTTTTATGTATGTTATACGTCTGTTCCATTGATTAAATATTATTTTAAAATTGAAAAATATTTCTATTCAAATATAATTTGAACAAAAATTTTTATTGTGTATTTTCTTACTTCTGACTTCTCAATCTGAGATAGTAATGGTGATTGAATAGGAGCCTTAAGATGTGCACAACGCGTAATCTTGGTAAATTCTTGATAAACTATAGCGTTAGTGTAAACTCAGCAAAATCAACCGATTTCGATCTTACTGTTAGATAAAAAAAAAACTATAATATTCCGAGATGTCTGTCCAAGATAAACTGTTCTATGGCATCATAAACAAGAGATCAATGCTAATTTATAGTATAAAAGTAATGTACGACTTGAATGTAAAATGCGCATTGACATTTATATGCGTTCGTTGATAAAATCCATAACGATAAATCCCAAATGCTTCTACGCGATGTATAATAGTATGAATACTGATATTACATACAATAGCACCTATACCGTTGCTAGTTACTTTAAATGACTTGAAACTGATTTCTTGAAATAATAATATACAATTATTACAAATACATTGACATTAGAAGAATATTATAATAATTCTTCTGCAGCATTAAAAACTCGTGGTAATGATGTTTCTTTTTAATTCTTTAATTACGACCAGAAATTTGATTCTAATTGACATATACATTTAAATGTATTTAAATTAAAGAATATTTCTTTCTGGACGAATTTTTCTCAAAAAACGATACGTAATAAAGCAAGATTATCTTATATTTTTTACATCTTCCTTATTTTTTAAATAAAGGTTTATCTTCTCAATAAATTTTTTACACTAGAATTAATTAGATATTATTTATCTCATATGTTTCACGCTATTATTAGCAATGCATCATTTTATGCTTGATCGTAATCAACTTTTTCGCTAGTGTCGCGTCAGATTTTTCACAATACAAGAAAATACATAACATTTATGTGTAGGAAATAACTATTATCTCGCAAGTGCGCAAACAATTATAAAATCGTGATTGATCCACAATTCACAATATTATATGTAAAATGTTCGTTCCACAATTTCATCAAAAGTATTTGAGGCCAACAATCTATCAATTATATTGCGTAATTCACAAATTTGTGCTCTTCCAGACTGATGTCGCAATTAGAGAATATTGGAAACTTTCACCGATTAACTTTGATTTGACTTTTCTTTACGTTTTTCGATTTTCGACATCTTGAAAACTATACCAATCAATTTCTTTATTGTTTGGGACGCGCGCGTATTATTTTCACTTTGATTAATTACTTTTTGTAATTTAATGTAATATAAAAAGTAACGCAACTAATTAAAACTACCACTCACCCTCTGATGAAATTTGATGTTAAGAAATTGGAACTTACCTGGAACAGAGAAAAAAAAGTTATACACATATCGACGTACGTACATACATATCTTACATACATACGTATATAAATTGTACACCTCAGCATTAATAATGTTATTATTTATATAAATGCATAATGCACCATTTGCTTTCCTATTTTACCGACAAACTATTTCGAATATATCGATAGCGCAAATGTATGATAAATGTACTATTTAAGATTATTTATGATATTATCGGTTAGAATTTTAACAATTCTGTCATAACGATGTCCGAGGTCTAACGAGCGATTTCAGGAAAAGTAAAGGCAGCTTCCGCGTCGCTTTCCGTGCGTAACATGAAATCTGCCGAGCATATTCCTCTTTCTCGAACCTTTCACAATTTCCTTTTCCTTATTACCTTCAAAACAATTCGATAATGTCATAAAATCGCTTTAATGTATTCTGTACGTTGAAAAACGGCAGTTTTCAAAATTTACTATATAATTGAGAGCATTAATGCCGCTCGGTGAATTTGCATTCGTAAAGAGATTGTTATAACATATGGTTTATCGATTCTGCCCTTTCATAAAATAAACAAACTATACGATTAATTATACAAGGGGAAAAAATACATTTTTTCAAATATTACAAAGACATTGGCTGCTGAGTGAACACGCACGAATAGCATTAATGTTCCCGTATAGTACTCTAAAAAGTATTTTTCTAATCATTCTCATCGTTGTTTTCCAAAAAGGAAGTCTTCGGGAGAATTATAACACATGCATAAAACATTGAAGAAATTGCTCGCCGGAAATTACAAAATTAGAATTATCTTTACGTGGTGCGTATATTTAAATTTCTGTACATTTGAAGAAATTTATTCGAAAATGGTAATCTTAAATAGAAATTCCTATCGTTTGTTTTTTACCGATGACTTATTTCATGTAAAGACCACAGATATATTTGCGATTTCACTCTTTGCCTTTCGCAAGAACCTCCTGCTAAAATATGCGTTAATAGATCTATCCTGACGCTTATTTAATTATATTTAATAATCGGAGACATTTTCATCAATAAAAGATCGTGCTTGTTTTGCCAACCAATAATAATAATCACATGATAGAATTAAATAAGAACAACAAGAGAGAGAAAGAGAAAGAAAGAGAGAGAGAGAGAGAGAGAGAGAACGGGAGAGAGGCATAACGTAACTCCGTGAGTCGTCTCGTAAAAAGAAACGAATCAGAGGTTTATGCCGGTGAAATACTTTCTCCTTTCCCGTTATGAGATCACCATCTCGTTCTTCCGGCCGATCGGGACATAACCCGCAGGCACAACAAGGCACTTTGTGCACCGTTTACTCATTCAATTTACACGTGGATTGAAGCTTGTGTTGTGTGGCTATCGAAGTGACTCTTATTAAATTAAACGCTAGCTATGCTAGCGCGCTTTAATGGGGCACGATCGTCTTTAATTCGTTGAGAGACTTTGGCATTTCCTTATTCCACATCGCACGATAACCGTTCTTCCTTCCGCGATTAGAAATATATTGCTATTTCTCTTTGTGTCGCTACGAGCAAAATTAATTATGTTATTTATTGAATTTTAACATTTTTTTATACGAGTAATAATAATAAGACAAAAATAAGAAAAATATACTAGAACTCCCGCTTATTAATACAAAAATAACTTGAGATTAAGGGAATTAGCGCGGTGAACAATGTGCAAATTAAAAAACTTTAATTATCTAAACAAAATATTTAATAAGATAATAATAAACTATTCGATTACAAGTAATAATAATTAACGGAGGTTCAGAACTTTTTCGAGCTCTGTAATTTAAAATAATTAAACAAATTCAAGATTAATAAGTTCATTCTCATTTTTACAGCATACGTAAAATCAAGATAAAAATCAAATTTTGAAAAATATTTACGTATGTTGCCTATACGATATTTGTTATTCGGAACCAAATTTTATTCAATTTCTATTTAATATCTCTTTTATTATTAATATTGTCACCATCATCATCGTTATTATTATTATCATTATTATTGTTATTACAGAACGAAGCAGTATGGAAGCGATCCATCGAAATCAATGGAAGCGTCATGAAAGGTATAAACATCGACGTGTCCTTCAATGTTCGTGAGACTGAAAGGATCAGTATATAAAGTCTCTATTGCAATATTTCATTACGACAAACAATGGAGCTCAATGAGACAGCGAGATCCAACTAAAGATTAATTAAAAAGGCAAATTAAATTTTTGCCAAAATGGTTTTTAGCGCAATAGTGGTGACCTCGGCCTTGAAGGGCGCTATCGGCTTAATGGGTACAGGTTTATGGCTCGTACCATTGTTAATCGCGGGTCTCTCTTACTATCGTTACGATCAATTAGATCCTGAAAGTCGACCCATCGACAGACACTCTCTCTACTCCGACTATGACTTTATTGTGATTGGGGGCGGATCGGCTGGAGCGGTAATTGCCAGTCGATTGTCGGAGGTACCAAACTGGAACGTGCTGTTGCTAGAGGCCGGTCCAGATGAAAACGAGATTACAGATGTGCCGTCTTTAGCTGCATACTTGCAGTTGAGCAAGTTGGATTGGAAGTACAAGACCGAGGCTACAGGTAAGGCTTGCTTGGCTATGAAGGGCGGTCGTTGCAATTGGCCACGCGGCAAAGTTCTTGGGGGCAGCAGTACCCTGAATTACATGCTGTACGTGCGCGGTAATAAACAAGACTACGATCATTGGGAGTCGCTAGGTAATACCGGCTGGGGATATGACCAGGTTCTCTATTACTTCAAAAAGTCAGAAGACAATCGGAATCCATACTTGCGGAATAGTCCTTATCACGCAACCGGTGGCTATCTAACAGTACAAGAATCGCCATGGAAGACGCCCTTAGTGGTCGCTTTTGTTCAAGCTGGCATTGAAATGGGATACGAAAATAGGGACATAAATGGCAAAAAGCAGACGGGCTTTATGATATCGCAAGGAACTATTCGCAGGGGAAGCAGATGCTCCAGCGCGAAGGCTTTCCTGCGACCTGTACGATTACGTAAAAACATTCATACAGCTATGAACAGCCATGTGACAAGAATCGTGATTGATCCGTTAACTATGAGAGCGACTGGCGTCGAGTTTGTCAGGAATGGTCGCAGACAGATGGTGAGAGCGCGCAAGGAGGTGATATTGTCAGCAGGTGCCATCAACAGCCCTCAGATTTTGATGCTCTCAGGGATCGGACCGAAGGAGCATCTACAAGACGTTGGTATTCCTGTTATCAAAGATCTTCAAGTCGGCGAAAATCTTCAGGATCATATAGGCATGGGCGGTTTGACATTTTTGATCGATAAGCCGGTCGCCATAATTCAAGATCGTTTTCAGGCGGTTCCAATGATGATGCACTACGTGGTTAACGGCCGAGGCCCCATGACGACTTTGGGTGGTGTTGAAGGTTACGCCTTTGTTAATACAAAGTATGCCAATCACTCTATCGATTATCCGGACGTACAATTTCACATGGCGCCAGCCTCCATTAATTCCGACGCGGGGGTCCAAGTTCGGAAAGTTCTAGGGCTAACGGATCAAGTATACAACACCGTCTACAGGCCGATTACTAATCGAGACGCCTGGACCATCATGCCTCTTCTCTTAAGGCCCAAGTCTCGTGGCACTATACGTTTGAGAAGTTCTAATCCTTTTCACAATCCTATCATTAATGCGAATTACTTTTCCGATCCCCTGGACATTGCCATCTTGGTGGAAGGTGCGAAGCTTGCGATCAAAGTCAGCGAGGCGAAGGTCTTTAAACAATTTGGCTCGAGAGTTCATCGCGTCAAGCTGCCGGGATGCAAACATCTTAAATTCGGCACCGATGCTTACTGGGAATGTCACATTCGACACATCTCTATGACAATCTATCATCCTGTAGGCACCACCAAGATGGGACCGCCGACCGACCCTACTGCCGTGGTGGATCCGAGATTGCGGGTTTACGGTGTCACGGGTCTTCGAGTTATCGACGCATCAATCATGCCGACGATATGCAGCGGCAACACAAATGCGCCTGTCATTATGATCGGTGAGAAAGGCGCTGATCTCATTAAACAAGATTGGTCAGCTACCATCGTCGACAACTAATCGTAGAACAGTAAATCAAGCGAGCTTGAAAGGGATTGAGAGAAAAGCGATTTGAATTTGACTCAAAATAGATTATTATAATATAACGATTCGACTTGTTCATAGAACGTTTCTACTATTTACGCAGGCATATTGCATAGAAGCGATTATTATTTCTAAACAAGAGAGAAAAAGAGAGAAGAATGTTTCAAAGACGTTAATAAATTGTAAATTGTAATATTATAATATCTACGTGCGATACATTGCAACTGACGTGTCTAACCGATCGTGTCGTAATAGTTATATGACCAATATGTGTTTCATGTCTTAATTTCGCATGTGTTTGTCAATCAATATAATTGTGTTTATAATTATTCTATGCGCATTAAATGTAATGTGCAGTAAAAGTAATATATATGATATATAGACAACATATAGCGTGGTAGTTTTGATTATCTAAAATTATAATTATAATTACACAGAAAATTTTGTATACTTGATAAGTTATTGATGGCAGACAGATAGATAGATAGATAGATAAATATATATATATATATATATATATAGGGCGTTCAACACTCAATGTATATAACTATATATGTATATATATATAACTATATATATATATATATATATATATATATATAAAACAAAATTGGATGCTATTTAATTTTGATCTGTAATTTTTAATAGAATGACGATTAATTATAAGCTGATTGAAATTATTTCATCAAATGAGATATAATGAGGTAGAAATTAATTATCGCAATGCTCGTCACGAATATCAACCTAACAATCAACAAAACAGACGGCCTATTACATGCTCTGAATTTTGAGTAAGAACCGTGTAATGTATAGCGATAATTAATTACCTATACAGATCATTTGACGTATTACGTAATTTTCCGAATGTCTAGATATCTATCGAGATGTATGAACATGATGCATTGATAGTGCAAAAAAATCATATTAACTACTATTTCAAAGAAGAAGGTAAATTTGATTCATTTAAGTACGATTGATCTAAAATTATATTTTTCATCGTCGCGATGAAATAAAATAAATGCTTATTAGAAACATAAATTATTAGATATTGGCGACATTTTATTGTTTAAGTTTCAATAAATTTTCATCAATCAATAAAGTTTCAATAATTAAATATTATTTATAATAATATAAATTATTTTCATACAACTGTAAGAATTTTACAGTTGTCAAAAATGGTTATACATAAACAGATAGGCAAACAAATCAATCAAAATAAAATGATAAATATTGTATTTATTGTTATTTATTATTTCATGTCGTTAATTTACGGAAAATAATACTATATTCAAAACTTACTGAAAATAAATAATTTTCAAAACTTAAAGTTTTTAATATGGACGATATTTAATAAAATATTTACTTTTTTGATCATTTTAGACTACTTAGTATATACCTTTACTCGTATATACAGAATAATGATGAGAGGAATCGATATTTTTACCTAAAAAAATCATATACTTTCATTAAATTAATTTAGTTGACCTTTATATGATCTTCGTAAACATTCTCGAGGTTAACTAAAGGTCACTATTTTACATTTCTTTCCAAAATCAAGTACTTTCTGTTTGAAATATTTTTGGAGGAAATGCTTTATTTCCGAAATATTTTATTTCACCATTAAAAACGATGGAAACCCTTAAAGGGTTTTATTTATCTACGGGTTTATGGTTCCTTCTTTTCATTGTTTATTTATCAACTGTTGCTTTTGCATAAAGTAGGTAATACAATAGATAAGTTTTAAAGATTTTTTGCCGCTCAAAACGAATTCATAAATAAAATTGTTATATCACGTCATGTTTTGAAATATTCAAAAAGTAGAAAAAAATACTATTTTTGGTATTTTTAGATACCAATTTTTTCAAAAAATGACGAGCAATTCCATTTACAGATTTATTTTCAACGACAAAATATTTGTCCCGTTCGTGGTCAAGAAAAAATGTTTAAATTTATCAGACAGTGTAATTGAGGTTAAACACTGACATTGACATATATTCCAATTGATATTTCGGTAGCAATTACATAAGCAGGCAAAAACTTAATGTCTCTATACATGTGCCATATATTTTTTATAGGAAACAAGAAATGAATAATAAATTTTTATGTCGATCTCAGATGTATTACATTAACATTTACAAACTGAATCGACTTGTCGCATTAAATTTTGGCGATAAGTATAAATTGAATTTATTAATATTGATTATGGATTGTTCAAGAGATTCTTTGGCTCATTCAAGGTCATCAACTAATGGCCATGAAAATCTCGGCAATCAAGAAAAACCAGTATTGAAGAATTTATCGTGAGTTCAATCTAAAAGAAATAAAAAAAGAAAATCAGTATTCATACGTACATTCAACATATAAAAAACGAAAATGTTTCTTTTTCATTAAATAACTGGTTTTAATAATGTCTATACAGAATAGTTCATCGATGATGACGGTGCGCAATTATGAATAATATAATCTGATAAAAAGTTCTATTTGATCGATTAAAGCTAATTTCATGTTAACACGCATCTCGGAATTTTCCTAGTGTTTTTGCTAGTCTAACGCAATTGTTTCTATCTATCTCGCAAATCTCGCATTTTCCCAATCAATTTATGTAAAGGAGAAAAATATCAATACATTATTAAAAATACATATATATATATACCTATATATAAAATTTTTTTGCAATTTTTGCATTTCACTGAATACTGCACTGTGTTAATAACTCAGTTTTTAAACTTTGATATTATTATTAACACAATTTTGATCCCTTCTACAAAAGGGCAAGTTGTTGTGATATGTGAAAAAGAGCTTTTAAAAAAAGAAGAATTTGATGATTAAATGTAAATGTAATGGCCCAGCAATATAGATACAGATTCGAGACAAATTATTTTTACTCTTCGCGACTAATGCAAATCTAGCAATATCGAATTCTCAAATCGCTAATCTATTTGCAAGACAGATACGATCTATAAACAATAGACCCATCTTCAACTTCGTGTTACATTAATAATAACGTTACAATGTCACATTAATAAATAATATAATGTACGTCAAAAAACATTGCTATGACAAACTAAGGAAATTTTTTCGCGTCAAGAGCGCGAAAGCAGATATGCCATTTTTTTCTTGCAATCAATTTCCTGGAATTAATTGACAGTGAGAACGCCATTTTTCCTCTTGTCACGATGTGACATCGTTTACCGCATAATAATTTGTTTTCTTTGGGTTGAGTTGATTTGTGTAATAGTGTTATTTACGCATACAGTGACACCTGCAAAACATGCAGACCTCGATGCAGGTATATATGCCAGGCGAACAACCAGATGTTGTCCTCTATTATCGCGCCCCACTCAAGACACGTTCGTTAGTCAATTGCTACTTGGATATCGGGCAAGATGCCGAGGCTTCTTTACCTTCTCTGTGCTGTTGCCGTAATCGTTCCGTTGCAGTCGAGCGGACAATCGATGTCGGAACAGTATCACAGTCTTTACGGCGATGATGTGAGCGGACGCGAATTGACAAATATATTTGAGCTAAGTGTCGGGGCCTTAAACTTCCTGCAGCAGGGCCAACGTTATAGAAGCCAGGAGATACCGGATACGGTTCCGCAGAGCGGAGCCGTATACGATTTCGTGGTAATTGGCGCCGGCACAGCCGGCGCCACGATAGCCGCGAGGCTAAGCGAGATTCACCAGGTTGAGGTGTTACTGATCGAAGCTGGATCTAATGAGAATTTCCTCATGGACATTCCTATTCTCGTTTACTTTCTGCAGCTAAGCAACGATATCAATTGGAAGTACCGAACGAAATCGTCCAACAAATATTGTCTCGGCATGGACGACAACAAGTGTAATTGGCCTAGAGGCAAAGTGATGGGCGGTAGCAGCGTACTAAACTACATGATCGCATCTAGAGGCGGCGCTGAGGATTACGATCGATGGGCTAAGATGGGAAACAAGGGTTGGGCTTACAAGGACGTCCTCGAATATTTCAAGAAACTGGAGACGATCGATATCCCAGAGCTGCAATCGGACACTATTTATCACGGAACTAAAGGGCCGTTGCACATCTCTTACTCGTCATTCCATACATTATTGGCAGAGGCCTTTCTAAAAGCTGGGAAGGAACTCGGATACCCGGTGTTGGATTACAACGGGAAGAATATGATAGGATTCTCTTATTTGCAGAGTACGATCATTAATGGCACCCGCATGAGCAGCAACAGAGCTTATTTACACCCCGCGAGAGATCGTCGGAATCTTCACGTGACACGTGAGAGCATGGTGAGAAAAGTGCTGATCGATCGTCATACGAATCGGGCTGTCGGCGTAGAGTTTGTCAAACACCGTCGAATTATCCGTGTAATGGCAAGCAAAGAGGTGATTTTGTGCGCAGGTGCCATCGGATCACCACAATTACTAATGTTGTCTGGCATCGGTCCGGCAAAACATCTTAGCAAACTCGGTATAAATGTCATCCGGGACTTGCCGGGGGTTGGTGAAAATCTGATGGATCACATAGCTTTTGGCGGACTAACGTGGACAGTGGATGAGCCGATAGGTTTACGATTTTCCGAGATCACAAATCCTACTCTTCCATACATAAAGGATTTTCTGACGGGGCGATCGGGACCACTCACGACCCCGGGTGCGTGCGAGGCTCTCGCTTTCATCGACACCAAGCATCCAAAAAAATTTGATAATTTACCGGATATCGAACTGCTATTTATCGGTGGCGGATTTAAAGGAGATATTATTCTTCCAACTGTAATGGGTTTCAACAATCAAATGCGTCAGATATGGGACAAATATCGTAACAATTATGGCTGGACTGTGTTACCGATGTTGTTGAAACCAAAGAGTCGTGGACGGATAAGACTATTGGCCAACGACATTAACGTCAAACCCGAGATCGTGCCGAATTATTTCGACGATCCAGAAGACGTCAAGACAATGATTGCCGGCATTAAAGCTGCAATGAGCGTCGGCCAGACAAAAGTAATGCAAAAGTTTGGTTCACGATTGTCGAATGATACTTTTCCTGGATGTGAAAACTACGAGTACGATACTTATGCTTATTGGGAGTGCGCGATAAGAACGGCATCTATCACTATTTATCACTTTTCTGGCACTTGCAAGATGGGACCGAGAGAGGACCCGACTGCTGTCGTCGATCCGAAATTAAAGGTATTTGTTGAAAAGTACATTAGAGTACCTATTTGTTACTAAATCTGCAACAAACATTTCTGTATGATGTACAGTTGTGGACACAAGCGACACTTTTTTTTATAGGTTTCTAATATATATTTAATATACATAATATATATTTTATAGATAATTAACATTTTGCAAATGCGAACCACGATGTACTATCTTTAGTCTAGAGACAATATAACACCGATCGTGGTCCGCATTTGCAAAATATTAGTGCGTTTTGAAACCTATAAAAAAGAAAGTGTCGCAACTGATGTGTCCATGACTGTACATAGTCCGTGCGTGCGTGCGTGCGTGTGTGTGTGTGTGTGTGTGTGTGTGTGCGCGCGCGCGCGCACGTGCGTGCCACGCATGCACGCACACACAAGCGTCGATTTATACAATCTGCACCAAAATTAAAGGATCACCTATTCTGATTGCTAAATATAGGTAAATTTCAAGAGAGTGTAACTTCGTCAAAAATTATCGTAACATGATGATCAAAAAAGCATTTCACAGCTTAAAGTCTCTACTTTTAAAATCCATAATTCATTAAATGACTTACTAATTCTTTACAAAGCTGCACGGATGCAAATGAAGATGCATCAAAATCTAAAAATTGTTTACTCGTAAATTTGCAAAGTTCTATGGAGTAAAATAAAAATCGCACACAAATGCAGATTACAGCATTTGAAAGCGTATATCTTTATCTTTAATTTGCGCACTCGTTGAGCATTTTGCGATTTTTTGTCACCGAGTTATTCAATGTTGAAGCATAAGAGCCATTTTTACTTCAATGTTGAATAACTCGGTGAAAAAAATCGCAAAATGCTCAACGAGTGCGCAAATTAAAGATAAAGATATACGATTTCAAATGCTGTAATCTGCATTTGTGTGCGATTTTTATTTCACTCCATAGAACTTCGCAATTTTACGAGTAAAAAATTTTTAGATTTGATGCATCTTCATTTGCATCCGTGCAGCTTTGTAAAGAATCAGTAAGTATCATAATTCATTTAATGAATTATGGATTTCGAAAGTAGAGACTTTAAGCCGTGAAATGCTTTTTTGATCATTATGTGCAATAATTTTTGACAAAAAGAGTTGCACTCTCTTGAATTTTGCCTATTTTTAGCGATCAGAATAGATGATCCTTTAATTTTGGCGCGGAGTGTAATTTACAAATTCGTGTACAATGCAGGTGATTGGTATTCAAGGATTACGAGTAGCAGATGGGTCCATCATGCCCGAGATTACATCGGCGCACATAAACATACCAATTTATATGATTGCCGAGAAGTTGGCAGATATGATCAAAGAAGAATGGGGATACTTGGACAAGTTACAAACGTAACGATACAGTATTAATGAAGAGTTTCCGATATAAACTTTTATTGAAAACTAGTAATTCACGGTGAATAACCAAAAGTAAAAGTTTAAATAAGGTACCGGAAAATTGACATTATGGAAATATTTGTATAACCAGTATTCAACTATCATTACAACAATTAATATTTAGCTAGATTTGAATTAAATTTGATAATACTTTTTAGACGGCTTAGCATACTTATTGTTAGTTTAGAAGTAAGAATATTTTAGAATACTAAGTTTGATTTTTTTATGTATATTCTGTTTTTTAATGTAATCCAAATTATGAAACAGGAAATTATTATTATTATTATTATTAAGACGTAAGCCTTAAAAATTTATTTTATGGTTTGATATATCTTTCATCTTTTCTCTTAATTTTTAGTCATAAAACTGTTCAGTCAGATTTATGTCAAGATCTTGCCAGTATTGTATGTACAGTCGTGGACACATCGGTTGCGACACTTTTTTTTTATAGGTTTCTAATATATATTTAATATATACAATATATACTTTATAGATAACTAATATTTTGCAAATGCGAACCACAATGTAAGGTAAACGTACCAGTGACTGAACGTGTATCTATAGCTGAACAAGTACACAAAACAAGCACAAAAACTCATTTTTAAATGCTTTTCTTCGTAATATTATAATTTAATTGTAATCTTTAAATATTTCAACAATTAAATTTTGATATACATAATAAAAAAAGCATTTGAGATTAATAAATTTTGTGCACGTGTTCAGATACATGTTCAGTCACTGGTACGTTTACCTTACTACCTTTAGTCTAGAGACAATATAACACCAATCGTGGTCCGCATTTGCAAAATATTAGTGCGTTTTGAAACGTATAAAAAAGAAAGTGTCGCAACCGATGTGTCCATGACTGTACATGTATGCGTACATGTTGTTTCTTCATACATACAAATATTGTACATACATAAATATTCATGCTTATGACAGTTTATATAATACAAAAATCGCGTTAAGAAATATGTATTATTCATATTATTTTCACTAACAATTATACAATTTACTTTGATCTTTTTATCCTAAAAAGATATTACAGGTTTTTGGCTTCTTCACACAACAAAAATCCTATATTTTTATTAATATATATTTTTCGAATATTTTTGAATTCTAAACACTTTAATTTATTTCACAATTTATTACACAATTCGTTTAGTAAATAAAAAACTTTCGCGGAGAAGAAGCTACCTAAAATCTAACCTGTGTTCGCTTAAAATTTTTTAATAGATTTTCTTACGTTTATTTCTTTATTGAAATTATTTGCAGCATATAATTATTTACAAATCATTTACATTTCTAACTGTGAACCATTTATTACTGAATTTTTTCAATTATTAAAAATTTACAATGATACATTTCTGCAACTAATAATTATAGCTAATAATAATAGATTATTTGAATAATTCGTCGAAAATTCATTTAATTTTATTTTTTCAAATATCAATGCACGTTTACAAATATTTATATTACATTAAAGATTAAAAACTTTAAAAGTTAAAATTTTTGTTTGTGAAATTAATAACTTAATTATCTGCTATGGAAATTGTATTAATTTTTCGATCTAATATTGTTAGTTTTGATATTGATTAGAGACGAGATATTGCTGATGTATTAAAGAATATTAATATTTAATACAAAAGAACAAAAGACGAGGTAGAGAAAATATTGTGACACATAAAGCGAATGTGATTATTTACTAAACGACAATAAGTCTTATTTGTTGCTGTTAACATTTTGTGAAATCCACAGATAATTGCAAAATCTTCCTGTATCCATTCACATAAATATTACTTCAGGTAAGAACGAATGACGAGGTAGATTCAATTTGCGAATATTTTGACATAATTTAAAATCAATATTTTTGCGCGTTGTTAATTCTGTGGAAGATTAATTCAATTTATAATATATTTTGGTTATATTCATTTTATTAAATTTAAATCGCTTGGAATTATCAACTGAAAGAGTAAAAATATTTTTGTAAGTTACTGTACATTAAATAAATACCAACCACAATTCGTTACCAAATTAAATTGATATCTCCTTGACCCGAATAATTCTCCTATTAAAATTCTGGACGAAATCAAGAGTCATTATGTAAACGTATATAGAAAGATTTTGCAATCGTGCGTGGATTGCAAACAATTAACAGCAACAAATAAGAGATGTATCGTTCTTCAGTAAATATAGATATATAATCACATTCATTTCATTCGAACAAAACTTATATATAATACGAGATAATATTATACTATGACAATCTATTTATCCTTATCTTGATATAAATTTATAAGAGAAGTAAAATTCTTAATGTTTGTTCTATCTGTGTTTATTTTCTGTCATTTATTCCATTATGTAGAAAAATTTTTCAAAATTATATAGGTATATTTTCAAATTTATTGTACAATTAAAGTTGAAATACGTCTTCAAATGTTAGAAAAAGCGAATAATCGCTTTCTACTCTCTTACATTTGTGCTATATATAATTTTATATTTCGTAATTATAAAATATTAAGCAAAAATTTTTTCTATTTTTTTATATTTCTACTTAAACAGTATTTGCAACTCTTTCAGATATATAAGTATATCTTCAAATAGACAAGTTAGTTACTAAAAATATTTGATCAAAAATATTCAAGTATGTTAATAATGCTTCTCCTAACCAGTACTGACAATCTCATAGCCTTGACAGTAATCGCGGTGAAAACAAAACGTGACATGTTTCATAATTTGGCAAATACTGATGCAACTTTACTAATCAATGTTTTTATAAATTTGTTAAACAATCTTTCACTGAACAATAGTAGAAATATGTAAATCGAAAAATAATCGAAAACATATCACTTGTAATTATAATAAATGTAAATTATTATTCAAAAATTTATCAAATAAATGTTATCAGAATTTAAATTTAAATAGTTATTTAAATAAACATAAAAAGTTCACACACAATTGCAAAATGGAGAAATGGAAACTATTATATATTATAATCTGTGTCACAAATTGACTCGTGTACACACACCACACGCACACACACATACACACACACGCGCGCGCGCGCGCGCGCGCAATGTGTGTAAGTATCTATAGTTTTCTCTTCACTTGATTTATTTGTAAGTCTTTGATATTCAAACTCTTTCATTATTGCATGACGGATTGTCAATTTTGCACTAAGTCACACATTACTATTAAAACATGTAAATGTTTGAACAATAAAACGACAATTCACTAACAATTCGAGGAGGGGTCTCGGTCCAAATACGTTACTCGAGTCCGATAAGTATTACGTGAACGAGACGAGAAAGTGCATTTCTCTTGTGGATCCCGAAACGGAGAGTGGTCGGTCGTGGGCTGTCGTTCCAAAGTGGCAGAGAAGTTATCTTACTCGGCAAGAAGGAGGATTGCGCGGATCTACATGCGAAAAACGACTGTTCCGGTGATTCGTTAATATCACATAAACGGTATGTATTACCGAATTATAAAGAAATTATTAAAGTTTATGATCGAAATCCCAGAGAATAGCGGAAAGAATTACATGTGCATGAAAAGATAAAAACTAAATAGACAAGAAAAATTCCAATAAAAAAGTCAGGATAAAAGGCCAGGGACAAGCGAAATACAAATGTCAGTTAATAAAATTCAATATTCAAGTCATATAAATAAAGCGAAACTAGTTTTAGCTTTTTTCAATCGTTAGTAAAATTAAAATCGACGCATATAAAAACTCGCTTTTGGCATCTTTAGCCTTTTATCCTGACTTTTTTATTGTTTACAATAACGAGCTGGTAATCTATTTATAAAGGTACCTTTTCATGCTGACGCTCGACGATCATTTTTAGAGTCAAAACAGATCACATGATCAAAATTGATGCTTGGTATTGTCGTCAATTTTGATCATGTAATCTGTTTTGATCATGTAATCTGTCGCTAAAAATGAGCGTCGAGCGTCAGCATGAAATAGTACCTTAAATAGACAAGTTTCCGGGGACCTTGTGTATATACTGAATGAAATATATTGTTTTTTAAATATTACACGTAGAATCACAATCAAAAGTGATCAAGAAATATAAAGATAACAATGTAATTTTCATATTACACAGGGCAAGCATATAGGTATAGTGAAAGAATATAATTACATAATAATATATCTATACCAGGCTGACCGACTGGCGGTCGGCTATAAATCTTATTTGTGTGTATGTGTGTGTGTGTGTGTTTGAGCGCGCGCGTGTGTGTAAGGTGCGTTTAAAATTATCATTTTACAGAACCTTGTACAGTATGAGGATATTGTGGCCGTTCATCATTATCGTAGCGACCGGCAGCGCTCATAATTTCCTAGACATCGTCAAGAATTATATCCATACATCTGGAAAAGAGTACGGATTTACAAGTAATACCAGGTATGACTTTATCGTCGTAGGAGCTGGATCGGCAGGTTCCGTATTAGCCAATCGTCTATCGGAGAACAAGAGATGGAGAGTTCTATTACTGGAAGCGGGATATGCGCCAAACCTGTTGAATCAGATTCCGATATTCGTCGGCTTGTTTCAATTAACTAATTACAATTGGGGTTACAACGTAGAGCCTCAGAAGAATGCCTGTCTGGGGATGATAAATCATCAGTGCGCTTGGCCGCGGGGTAGGGCCATGGGTGGCACGAGTGTCTTGAACTATATGATCCATACACGTGGAAACAAGTTTGACTACGACAAATGGGCTAGTTTGGGCAACGTGGGCTGGTCTTACGCGGACGTTTTGCCGTATTTTAAGAAAAGTGAAAGATTTAATGTACCAGGTACTTGTATGATATTATTCTTCTCTTTTCTAATTTGCAATTAGTCTTTTCAGATTGCCTAATGGATTATCAAAGTTTCTTACATATACATTACAACAAACTACTCTATAAACATGTAAATCTCATATTTTATTAGGCAATTTAGTTATTTAAGATGGTTCCTTGATTCTTTGTGTAAAATCTTATATTGTCTATAAGTGGAGGGTGTATGCAGAGGTGATTAAATTAAATACTCCATATATTTTTAATTAAGAAAAACTGAGGCATCAATTTTATGGCAAAATCTCAATGCAAACTGAAGTTATGATTAACATAAACAATATATACATTTTACAAATGTATGCAATTCCAACTGCTTAAATTCTACTGCCAGTTTAGGATGATAAAATTGTTTTTCTCATAATCGAAGAAAATAATGAGTTTTTTCTATTTCGCATTCTAAAGATTTTCTCATAAATAATATACACATTCCTGTTTTTCTTCTCAAACTTTTCAAGCTTAAATTTCACAGATTGATTTAGTCAAACAAAATAATCTTAAAACTAAAAGAGAGCGCAGAGAACATTGATCACGATGAGAGTTACAACAGATCAATCAGTTTGATTTAGATTGAATCACTTTTTTAAATACCGTACTAAGCCATGACTTCGATGCCATTGACCTATTATTTCTATGCTCAGGTATCAAGAATTCTTCATATCACAATGAAAACGGTTATCTGTGCGTAGAACATGTGCCATATCACACAAAACTGGCGACCGTGTTTCTAAATGCCGGCCAGGAGTTGGGATATAAAATCGTCGATTACAATGGCCAAGATCAAATAGGTTTCTCATACATCCAGGTAAACATGGATCATGGAACGCGTTGCAGCGCCGCCAAGGCCTATCTCGAGCGAATCAATCGACCAAACTTGGATATTATTACCGGTGCTAGAGTGACCAAAGTACTAATCGACGCGGACAAGCGCGCTTACGGTGTTGAGTACGTCAAGGACAACGTATGGAAGAAGATAATCTGCTCGAAAGAAATTTTATTATCAGCCGGTACGATCGACTCGGCGAAATTGTTAATGCTGTCAGGAATTGGACCAAGGGAGCATCTTGAAGAGCTCAACATCCCGGTGATTCAGGACTCTAAGGTTGGCTATAGCATGCACGAGCATATCGGTTTCTTGGGATTGACTTTCATGGTGAATCAGAGCGTGTCACTGCTGCAGAATAAGTTGCTTCGGCCGAGCGTGTTCCTAGAGTACCTTCTACACAAAGACGGCCTGATGACGATTCCAGGAGGTGCCGAGGCACTGGCATTTATGAGAACTAAATACGCTTCTGACGAAAAACCGGACGTTGAACTTCTTTTTGTATCTGGTTCTATACATTCGGACAACGGTCAGATTTTGAAGAAGGGTCTAAGAATTTCAGAGGATCTGTACGACGCTATCTATAAACCCATTGAAAATCAGGAGGCCTGGTCGATCTGGCCGATCGTTCAATCTCCCAGAAGCGTCGGTCGTCTCACGTTACGATCAAAAGATCCATTTGAGCCACCTAAAATGGATCCAAACTTTTTCAGCCACCCGGCTGATCTAGAGATTATTCTCGAGGGAGTAAAACACGCCATCAACATATCCAGAACCAAAGCCTTTCAGGCTTACGGCAGTCGATTGCACGATATTAAAATACCTGGCTGTAGACAATTTGAATTCGCTTCCGATGATTATTGGCGTTGCGCTATCAAGCATCTGCCATCTATGATGAATCACGAGATAGGGACTGTTAAAATGGGACCTCGAACGGACACTTACGCGGTTGTGGATCCGCAGCTAAGAGTGTACGGTATCAAGGCACTCAGAGTAGTGGACGCTTCAATCATGCCAATGATGCCTACTGGCCATGTGAATGCAGGAATATATATGATCGGCGAAAAAGCCGCGGACATGATCAAGGAAACTTGGAAGAGCGCGTTGTAAAATTCGCTTTTTTACAAGAGGCTCGGAAAATCGTATGGAGAATGGTAGTCAACATTAAACACAGCATTGTTATCGAAGCAACGTTGAACGTTTAAGAAAAGGAATGCATATAACTCTTTTTTGCTCAATTTTTTGTTGCTCAAGTTGGCAACGAGAAAGAATTAATGTAACAAAATAAAATAACAAAAGAATTAATAAGATTGTTGTTAGACAATTTCATGTCGATCTCCTAGCGTTTTAAATTAGTGACGAATATAAACGTGTATACGGATAATACTGCATAATTTCTCAGGTTACTGTTAAAAAAACAGACGTGTGTAAATAGGCATCTGAAGCGATTGCACATACTTTATGGGTATTTTCCACTCAATGTATGATGTACATGTATATAAGCTATCGATAACTTTTATGCGCGCGCGCGTGTGTATGTGTGTGTTTGTGTGTTGTAAACAGCTCGAAAAATTATGAGCCAGTCTGTGATTCTAAAATCCCCAACAAGTTCAAGATAGCTACAGACAATCGAATACAATTGTCAATTTTTCTTGTCAAGAACGATTATTCATGCTAAAGTTTAAAAAAAAAAAACAGAAAAAAAAGGGAAAAAAATGGTATCTGTATCTTTTTAGTTAATATTTTTTTTCAATCATATTCAATTAAATAAAAGATTCAAGTCAATTATTACGTCTTCATTCAATTATTACTTAATTGTTATAAACATCAATAATCAAGTAAAATGATTATTGACGCGATATACATAACTATCACACTCAATGTTAATGCTCGGATGTAGTATAATAATTATTATAACACACTGAAAACTAGCAATGACAATCAGCCAATGATTAATAATACACACTTTAATAATATACAAAAAATATAGAGTTTTAATCTCACAATTATTCAAACGTTTCGATTGACATTCTCAGCATTTTTATAAATTAATTACATTTAGCCTTGACTTACATCGCCATACTTTAGGCTTAAGAGTTTAATGGACATCTTATTTTATTTATTACATTATTTATTAATTATCAATTTATATATTTATACGACAATGCGATTATGTGTGTTCTGTTGTGTCGGAGGTGAGTCACCATCTGTCTAGTTTTTTCATAGTTTTTTCGTTCGTCATTTTTATTATAACTTTTTGAGGCCATACAATACATCCAGCGTTTTAACGTTTGGACATTGGTGAGGAATCTGGCCAGTTCTTTCACTAACCGATTGCAACAAGTCGCACACATGTTAAAAATAAACATGTGAGACCACAGTTTTACTTATATTGTTTTATGTCACTGAAGATGGCTGAGAATATCAGTCGAAACGTCTTAATAATTAAAACGTAAGATTAAAACTATGTTTTTATATTATTAAATTATGCGTATTATTAATCGTGCTGATTCTCATCGCCAGTTTTCATCGTGTTATTTTAATCTGTTAGTAATCGGGAATCTGATAGGAATTTGTTGTTTAATAATTATTACTCAAGAATATTTGTCGAGGACGAGCGTTCAGTTGCATCGATCGTTCTCGTTAGTGACGCAATTTTGTCATTGCAGCAGAATACGTTCGTATTTTATTCTGCTTTGTGTGTCGCGTAGCACAAAGTATTTACAAATGGATTAATTAATGATAGAAGCGATATTACAAGAAAAAAAACGAAAAATATTCTTTAATAGAGAATAAGTGTCGCCTGTCAGTAGTGTGTTTATATTGTGACGTAAAAGAGGAGAGATGAGTCATAGTTTCCCCTCTTGCCACCTATTTATCCCCACAAAACTGACATAAGATAGATAACATCTAGAGAGGCAAAGAAAACATTCAGAAAAACTGTCTGTGTTGTTCTCTTTGTAAAATTAAACAATTTATTTTCAAATTTTCTTAACAATTTTGTGCATTCTTAAAATGCACAATTGTAAATTATAATACTTGATAATATAACACGTAACCTATTGAAAATTACACGGAGTAAAAATGCTTTAATGAAATATATGTCATCATCAAGTTTTGTCATGTAAGAATTAAATAAATAACACATTTAAAATTAAATTCTTTTCCATAACTCCAACTGCAATCAAGCCCGCAACCTGTGTAATTACGGCTTTAAAAAAGTTGTGGCATGTTATTTAAAATTAAATGTCAGTTTATTAGAGAATTATTAGCAAAATTAAATGTCACTTTAGAAAATTGTAGGTAAAATTTGTATGTTAGTGTATCTTGGAAAACGCGTTATCTAGTTTTTCAATTTTCAACATGTTTTTCAGCTTGTCAATCGATTTTATCACTGCATTTTTGTTGAACCAAATTTTATTAAAGATTTATAACTTCAAACAGCATATGTCACTACGTCGCGTTGCTTTAGTTTAGTGTGCTAACAGTCGATTTCTTTTCGTTCTAACCACTACTCGTGACTAGTTTACAAGCATGCAACAAAAATGGTAATTTATTATAAGTTTCATGTAAGCATTATAAGCAATATTTCTGTTATCTGTTATCTAATAATATACACATTGATAACAATAATATATTGATATACCTAATTTCTAATTTATTTCAATCTATAAAGTATTATACAGTATAGTAGAATGTATATACTGTAAATTTTATCATACTTATGTAATAGAATTCTAATTATTAATGCATTTGAATTAAGGATACATAATGCATTGAATGCAAATAGTACAAATCAATTATGTTAGACACAATGCCATTATTATTATTAATATAGTGGAAACTGTAAAATGCATCTGCTTGTCTCACTAGACAGATTAAAAACACACGCCTTTGGTTTAAAAATTAACTGAAATTTATCAATATCTATGGAATATTGAAATTCAATAAAAAAAATTCATAATACATACACATAATCATTAACAATAACTGATAATTAATTAGTATGCATTCATACAAAGAGATTCATTACTTAGTAAAGTTGGATAAGCTCTTGATATTTCATAGGCACTGCAGTTTAGGCATTCAACGCGAGATTATTATTTTTTAGATAGTCTTATCTTTATTTAACAAAATAATTGTCTTTTAGAAAAAAATACTAAAGATACATATTAAGATAGGAAATCTACCTTTTTCTCTGATGAAAATATGTTCTGTTTTATAAATATCTATTTCTTATGGAATACATTATCGTATAAACTTTCTCTTTGTTACTCTCATTTTAACAGAAATTTTGCCAACAAGTTTTATTTTACATCAAGTTAAACTATTGATATAATCGACCAGATTTGCGATCAAAAATTTGTAATATTTCATTTTATAAACGAAAATCTCTGTATATACTCAAACTACATACAAAGAAATTACTGTCACTACCAAGAGCAATAGACTAATAATATTGTTGTTATATCAAGCAACATAGTTTAAAAAAAAAACATCGTAGTGCTTGAAATTGTGTTAATAACACTTGTAAAATTAAATTACCTGATACCACAAGAGCTTCGTTTGGGCCGCAGGTGTGAACGTTTCCCATCGTCGAAGAACTAACCTTTCCTATGTTTCAATTAAAATAATGCTTCAACAATAATGATGATTATGATAACAGTGACGATGATGATGTTGATGACGACAACGGCGGCGGCGGCGACGGCGACGACGACGACGGCGGCGGCGGCAGCGGCGGCGACGACGACGACGACGACGACGACGGCGACGCAACCGCAGCGATAACAAAAACGACAAAACCGACGCGAAAAAGATATCGACACTGACTCGATATTACTGAGTACACGCAACGTAATAATAAATTTAACAAAAAATTGTTTCAAAATGACCGGCAAATCATTATTAATACATACCGCGCGTTAATCGTCGCGTTAATCGGACAAGGTTATGATACCAACGATAGCCGCCAGTGCCATCACACAAAAATTGTTCACGATTTCCAAAAGTCCCTAAAAAATGTAAGAAATATTCTAGGACATGGTATCTTTCGTTTTAGGGAGAATTCACACTTTGGATGCATTTCCACTGAGCGCGTCACGCGTCGGGTCATCCGAATTGACCAATCAAAACATCCCATTTTATTGCGTAATTTGCTGCGCGATCCGGGATTTTTCATAACAAGATTCTTTTATATCTCTAAAATATCGAATAACCTAATCGATACGTCGCGCAAGGAGTCACGCGGCAAATGACGCGCAGTAAAATGAAATATTTTGATTGATTAACTCGCGTGACGCGCTCATTGGGAACGCACCCTAAAGTCTGCATGCGCGTAAGAAATTCAATTGACCAATCACAATCGAATGTGAGGAGGAAAATAATCGTCTATGATTGGTCCAGTTCTCACGGTTTACAGGTTAGTACACCCCTGTTGTATAGATCACCTTTATATGCATAGAGCGATTAATAAGTAGTTGCTGTGTGGTGTGGAGCTCTGCTGTTGGCTTGTCGATCAAAGTCAAGTAATAAAGTTACTTTTTGCAGATAAACGCTTGTATGTACATGTTGTAATAAGACAACACGTGTTCCACGGAAACGTTTGCAATTCCGAAAATAAGCAAAATTTTAGATATAATGCCGTTGGCAACTCTAACGGCTCCTTGGACCGAGCATCGTACAAATGAAAAGGTAAAACTCTTAATTTCTCTCATTGTCAGCATTTTTTTTGAATTGCAATATTCTTGGAATTTTCTTGGGAAACAGCAAATTTCAAAGCATTGCTGCCGGATTTTCATGACGGATTGTTCTTATTCTTTCTGTATCTTCTTTGCTTTAACATTCGAGATTGGAAAGTATATCACTTTGAAAAATACTTGAATTTTCCATACCTGTTTTGCATCTGTTTAGCAAAGTACAGAGATTCTTCCAGCTGAAAATCAGGAAGAAACAATGATTACTCAAGGAAATTTAATTGAAAGATCAAATGGTTGCTCAGAATCTCATGAAATTGAAGTACGCGACATGGCGAGGGATGGTTATGAGAAAGCGGAACCATCTCATTTTGAATTATTAAAAGTACTTGGTCAAGGATCCTTTGGCAAAGTAAGAATAGTGAATCAGACGTAACAAGAAGATAATGTGAACACTGTATTGCGCATATGTATGCATGCGCATATATAATGCATGCATATATGCACCAAATGTATATTATAGTATCTTTTAAACACTTTTCTATACTTCATATTATGCTGTACATATAAAATTTTATTTTAATTGATCTCTTCTGTTGATATTTTTATAGGTATTTTTAGTAAGAAAAGTTGTTGGAAAAGATAGCGGGACTCTGTATGCTATGAAAGTCTTGAAGAAGGCGACCTTAAAAGGTATCTAGAAATATTATTGTGTTGCAAATGTTATGGATTATTGTAATCATCGTATTATTCTCTTCTCTTTAGTTCGTGATAGAGTCAGAACCAAAATGGAGAGAAATATATTGGTAGATGTAGAACATCCATTTATTGTTCGGCTACATTATGCTTTTCAAACCGAAGGGAAGCTTTATTTAATTCTAGATTTTCTAAAAGGTGGTGATCTCTTTTCCAGATTGTCTAAAGAGGTAACGAGTGTTGCTTGGAAATGGCTAGATTTCAATGTTGCCTATACTTTTTGACAATTAGCATAATTAAGTGAGAACTCGAGCACATTTCAAATTTGTTCAAGAGAATTACATTTTCTTTTGCGAGAAAATGCAATCGTCGCAAGCAAAATAAGCTCAAATATATTCATAATTTTATATATATTTCAAAATTTTTTTATAATTACTGTTTCAGGTAATGTTTACGGAAGACGACGTCAAATTTTATTTAGCCGAACTAGCACTCGCACTGGATCATATACATAAACTCGGAATTATTTATCGAGATTTGAAGCCCGAAAAGTTTGTATCTGCATTTATACTGCCATATACTGTGTGTCATTGTACTACTACGGTTCTTTAACAGAAATATCAGCTATTAAAATATTTAATTTAAAAACTTTTTTTCTGTACAATAGTATTTTGTTAGATACTGAAGGCCATATATCTTTAACGGATTTTGGCTTAAGCAAACAACCTTTAGACGATTCGAAAGCGTATTCGTTTTGTGGCACTGTCGAATATATGGCACCGGAAATTGTCAACAGAAAAGGACATACTTTTGCAGCAGATTGGTGGAGTTTCGGTGTCTTAATGGTTAGGGTTGAAATTTATACTACACCATAGATGAAAATCTAACGGAGGTCAAGCGTTGAGCGTTGTGTGTAACATTTTGATATTTTCAGTTTGAGATGCTAACAGGCGCTCTCCCGTTCCAAGGTGCAAATCGTAAAGAAACGATGACACAAATATTGAAAGCTAAACTCGGGATGCCGCACAATCTTTCGTCGGAAGCGCAAGCGCTTCTGAGAGTATTGTTTAAGAGAAATCCGGCAAATCGTCTTGGATCTGGTAATGTAAAACTGACTTATTGCTCTGAATTATCTTAACTTAATTTCACGTACTTTGAAGAAGTAACCACTCTGTGCGGGTGACTTTGAGTGACAACGCACACACTCGCGCTGTCTTCATGTATGTAGGTACTTTAGCACATCAGATGCTTTATGCAATACACTCTTTATTTCTCTTAGGTGGGGTGGAAGAAATTAAAAGTCACATTTTCTTTGCTACCATCGATTGGGATGCTCTTTATAAAAAAGATATAAGACCGCCATTTAAACCAGCTGTTAGGGAGGACGATGCGTTTTACTTTGATAATGAATTTACTTGCAAGACACCTAAAGGTAAAATCCTTCTGAAAGATACAAATGGAAAAGGAAGAAGTAGACGCAGTAGACAGTAGTAGAGTTCTCAAATTAATAATACCAATTAAATATGTGCTATTCTCTTATCTCTTTTTACGAAAGATACTCGGGCATTTTCAGATTCTCCTGGGGTACCACCTAGTGCAAACGCTCATGAATTATTTCGCGGATTCAGTTTTGTCGCACCATGTTTGCTCGCGGATGCGGAGCACGTTATGTCTCTGCCGGAATATAATAGAAACTACGATAACATTAGTGCTATTTTTCCAACCTATGTTAATCCTGTTTCCATAACTGACGAATATGAATTTAAACAAGAAATTGGCAGAGGAAGCTACAGCGTGGTATACTTGGCTATTCATACAACATCCAAGATGGAGTATGCTGTAAAGGTAATATAAATCCTGTATAAAACTTGAAGTAAAAATGTATCTTTAAAGAGATATTTTTACTTACGAGGCAAAAGTAGAAAGAGAGCTAAAAATAACTCAACGAAATAGGTGATTGAAAAATCGAAACGAGATCCGACGGAAGAAATAGAAATTCTATTACGATACGGTAGGCATCCCCACATCGTAACATTGAGAGCGGTTCACGAAGATGATAAACGAGTGTATCTCGTATTGGAACTTTTACGCGGTGGTGAACTCCTCGATCGTTTGCTACAGAGACGAAATTTTACCGAAAGAGAAGCTGCCGAAGTCATTTACACTGTCACAAGTGTGGTGCATTATTTGCACGAGAACGGAGTAAGTATGCGCGATCTTTAAATGTGCAATACAATACGGTTTTGCATAGTATAGTCAATATCAATTTGTACATTTATCTGTACGTGTATACACATGGAAATTCATCTATATACATACGACGAAACGGAATGAATTGTTACTTAAAGAAAGGAAAAAAAAAATAGGTTGTTCATAGAGACTTAAAGCCATCAAACATTCTATATACGAAATCTGGCGGTGATCCAACGACGCTCTGTATATGTGACCTTGGCTTTGCAACACAATTACGAGCGGAGAACGGTTTGCTAATGACGCCCTGTTACACAGCCAATTTTGTAGCACCCGAAGTATTGAAACGCCAAGGGTATGATGCAGCGTGTGACATTTGGTCACTCGGAGTTTTATTGTACATTATGCTAGCTGGGTAAGCGAAAACTTAAAAAATGTCTACTTATTACATATATATGCGATTATAATATGATTAGAATCGATCTAATTTCATTCATCATGCGATATATAGATACACGCCTTTCCGTAACAGCCCAGGAGATAGTGCAAGCGATATATTAGATCGTATTGGATCAGGATATATAGACGTGGAAAGTGGAATATGGTGTCATGTTTCCAATGAAGCTAAAGAACTAGTTAAGAGGATGCTGCACTTAGACCCCACTCGAAGACCTACGGCAGCTATGATTTTAAAATATCCATGGATTGTAAATCGACATCGTATCCATCCAAAAGTATTGCCAGATGTTATTAAAGATCCGCATAGTTTAAAGGTGTGTATTGTGTGTATATTGTGTGTGCGTGCGTGCGTGCGTGCGTGCGTGCGTGCGTGCGTGCGTGCGTGCGTGCGTGCGTGCGTGCGTGCGTGCGTGCGTGCGTGCGTGCATGCGTGTATATATAGCTATCAAAATACGAAAGTATAACAAATAGTACACTTGCACGAATATTTCGTAATACTTTCAAACTGTCGTTGTTAATAGATCGATAAATGCACACGTAGCATCCTATAGTTCCTTTTCTATATACACAGTATATACATTTTCAACATAAATTTATACATTGGAATGTAATTTTATGATGAATTCTGATTTTAGATGGCAGTCGCGGAGACATACAGAGTAATAGCAAGTAATCCGAGATCACCGCATATTGGTCCCGTGGTCATGTCCGAATTGGCACGTCGCAGAACACAAGGCAAATCTAGTGGTCTCACCCAAGTTTAACTTTAATATCTCTTGTACAGATTTAACTTTTATCTCAAGATGGAAAAATACTTAGGATAACAAAATCATATTTTTAAGTACAAGCAAAAATAGTTTAAAGTGCCCACATTAATGTCATTGTGGAAAGTATAACGGAATATAATAGAACGTTTGTGACAGTGAGCCAAATGTGATATTTATTTATAGTTAATTGCGTTTAATACATCTATTCATAGGCTGTATATCATAGGTGCCTATGTGTGTCGTGTTACCATGGCTCCATAATAGAGTGCAAAAGATTCCAATGGTCAAAATAAGCAGCACTTAGTTATTTTTTAATTTTTTTTTTTTATACTTGTGCTATATTTCATAGATTTATCCAATGAGGAAAAACGTTGCCTGAGATAATTGTAATAAACTAATCAATTATTTAATAATTTAAATATTTCGATGTATTACATGTAAAATTTTATCTGTGCAATGTAATTAAGTAAAATTAATTTTTTTACTTGATGTATATCGCGAATAAGTGTCTTGTATTTTCACTTAAACTCGTGATTTGTAATTTTATGAAGATCTCGATATTTGTGCGTGAGTTTGATTTCTAAAAGAAGTATGATGATGTTTGCAGTAACTGCAAAACAAATTATATAATCATCGTTTTATTGTAATGCTTAATGATTTGTTAAATAAATTATATATATATATATATATATATATATATATATATACAAAATGTACAAAATTTATATTTGTTAATCTGTAATAGAGAGATGCGAGCACGCGCGCACACATACACATATATTCCTATAACATTTATTGCAATTGGAAATATTGGCAACAAATTATATTTGCCAAAAGTTCAAAAACATATTACTTATGCCGGAAATGAAAAAAATTTGAAAATTCATATTTTTTTAATCTTAAGTTTTATTGTAGACGCCGCTTTATAATTGTTAGCTCTTATGTGGCATCTACAGCTATTTTAAGTTGTGACATGTACTTGATACAAAAGCTATATGCAATTCATACTTTATGAAATTATGAAAGGACTGACAGACTAGTATAGATTTCATAGAGAAAAAAGCATGGAATTTTTAGATTTAGATATTTACTTTTTTGGTTTTTTATTACATATTTATATATATGTAATAGAAACTTACATATTTATATGTGCGTGCAACATTGATAAGTATAGTAAACACATCACATCGGCTTACAATTAGACGTAACATCTACGCACTACTATACATCAATGTCACACACATGCATATGCACGCACAAATCGTCGATAAACCAGCGATACCACGGAGTTTCGGCATTTTCGCAATAATTATAATAATTACATATTGTATATAATTATATACATATAATTGCAAGATACGGCGCGTGGATTGAAACATCTCTAATACCGATTGCCGATTATTATCAATCATCGATACGCTGTAAATCTATATATATATATCTTTAATATATTTAATAAACTGCAACAATTTATAAGAACGAAATTATGTTTTAACGCTAAAAATGAGCGTCGAGCGTCAGCATGAAAAATGATGAAAAGGTAAAGGTTACACATACCACACATGGATGATGAACAGGTGGTAATTATTTGTCCAAAAATATACATATAATAACAGAATTACGAAAGCTAATTGGCTATCTATCGTAACATGAACTTACCGACGTGTCTGTACGTGTCTAACAAGTCAAACACGTCGGTAAAGTCACCAGTCTATGTGACCCAGCGATTTATTGAGCCTCACCACACACACACACACACACACACACACACACACACACCTCACCCTCAGTGACCTCAGCCTTCTCAGTGCAGTGAGCAGTCAAGCAGTGTATGCATACTGTATATATACCAATTTGGGTGTGTCGGCTCGTATAGTACACTAGTATGTAATGTACACATACATACATGTACAGTCTGTACATACAAGCCAGTAGTCTAGTTGGTTAGATGCGGTTAAATTTGTTGTAGTCGCTTGTATTTTGTCTTATAACTGCGATTATTTGTTGTTCCTGTATAGAGAGCTAAAGGTAAAATGAGAATCATTGACATCACTGATTGTCGACAACAATATAAATGTTCAATATATACAATTGAGTAACGATTTATGAATAATCGTAAGCCTACATTTAACTGAACTGATAATCTGGTTAATTTTCAATCTTCTTTTTCTTTGTTATTGCAGGTAAGAGACTCGTCGAGAATAGGAACGCAAACTATTAATGCAACAATACTGAGTTCAACATGAATATAGTTGATTCAAAGCGCTAATTTAGAATATACATATGATCAATAATTTTTAAGGCAATCCAATTGCTTACACATATAACACATATAACAAATGTGTTCAAATGCTATCCATAACTTTGTTAGATCCTCGTTTTGTTATAACGTGCTACACATAATTTACCAAAGCTTTTACTTTCAAAATTACGTTTTTATATTACTTTGCTCAAACATTAAATATTTATCTTAATTATGCAATTTATCTAACGTAGTTTTTTCTTAAATACTTTGAGTGTTTTAGCTATTTTGATGGTACGTGATCGATCGATAGCATATATATATATATAATCATTTATTTCTCGAGAGAATCTGCAACTTACATATAATATTATAATATAAATTTTTAAATACATAAGTTTTTTCATGTAGAACTAGCATCCGCTAATCCATTATATTCTCTCATTTGATTCTTGTATGATTGAGTTACGCAGAATCAGAATTTTGCCATGAGTGGTCGGCGCTCCTTTTAATCGCTATGTCTATACAATGGTTTAGGACAATAAAGATAGGTATGCAGAATGCATGGTTTGCTCACATGGTATTTTGTAACACAAGAAATTTAAATCTGATGATTCAACGAAACGACACATTTCTCTCTCACATAAATACCAAGCGTTTGAGTATGAAATTAAAGGCTAGATGGGGAAAAAACTCTGTACTGTTTCAGGCTATTTCGGCATGATACATAAAGGTCCACGTCCATTAGTACTCTGTGGCCCTTCGGGCACTGGAAAAAGTACTTTGATAAAGCAATTGTTTGATGAATTTCCTGACACCTTCAAATTTTCGGTATCTCATACGACTAGAATGCCACGGCCTGGCGAAGAAGATGGAATTCATTATCATTTCACAAACAAAGAAAAAATGCAAGAGCAAATAAAAAATGGCGAGTTTATTGAAACTGCTACATTTAGCGGAAATCTATATGGGACGAGGTAAATATGAATATAAATACTGGATAAATATGTAAAAAAAAACACACAAAAACAAAAAAAGATACAACCCAAGCGTCATTTTAGCAAACGAGCGATCGAAGAGGTCCAACGTTTGGGAAAGATATGTGTATTAGATATCGACATACAAGGTGTAAAACAAATAAAATGTACCGATCTCAATCCTTTTTACGTATTCATAAAACCACCATCCATTGTGGAATTGGAGCGACGATTAAAGGCCAGAAATACAGAAACTAAAGAATCCTTGGAACGTAGATTATCGATTGCCAGGTCTGAACTAGAATATGGTATGTATTTTACATAATATAATATAATTATAATACTACGAGAAAGTTATATTTAAAACTTATACTATCTAACATTTACATATTTACTTGCAGGTGAAACACCTGGTAACTTTGACGTTGTCATAGTAAATGATAATTTGGAAAAAGCGTATGAGATTTTACGCAATTTTGTATTAAGCAATTATCCACATTGCCGTACAGGTGAATTAAATGTCTCTCACTTCTCTTGCCATTAATCTTTCTAGTGTAAATATAGCATGAATATCTTTGGCAAAGACATTGCGATTGATAGTGTGATAATATTATACAATATAATTACAATTTTACAATATAAAAATTAATACGTTATAAATTAGAAATAACATGTATGCTTTATTAGAAAATATTTTTTAGATGAGACAACAACCTAGTCGAGAATTGAAGCCTAATGGATTCTTGGATTACTCATATATCTGGACACGAATAACGAATTGTTTCCGACGAAATGTATTTGCAAACTATTGTGCAAATTTGATCCTGACACGTAATTAAAAGGTGTGTACACAGACACACACACACACAACTTTTACAAATTAAAACTAATACGAGTTTTCATGAAATTTTGTGTGTGTGTGTAAAAAAAACAAATTTAAATTAAAGAAACTAAAGCTCCTATGACTAAATTAGAAATAACTAAATAGTGCCTATGCGAGCCGACATAGGTACTATTTAGTTATTTTCTGATTCATATATGTATATAAAACTAAGTAACACACACACACACACACACACCTTTACATTCTTGCATATCTGTAATTGCCATGTTTTTAATTGCAGAAACTATCATTCTCATAGTAATAATAATTGCAATAGTTGCATATTCTACACTTTTACTACATTAAGCCCAATCTAGTGATTTTAAGACAAGCAAGTGGCGTAGAAAGAATACTTTTATTCTTCAATTTAGTACATAAATGTGTCATAGCTATTTTTTTTAATCGAATAAGAGATCCATTCTTTTATAGGGATGCAAAAAGACTTTTTTCGTTAAGATAAGAATTTTAGCTTAACGTTCAAGAAGTAACTCAAAGAAATAAAAATCATAAAATTATAGATGTAGCTAACTGAGACTATTCACCAAAAAAGGTTGTGTTCCAGTAGACTAGGCTCTGTAAAATATTTGCGATTTCATCCTTGTATTTATCTGCATGATTGACATAGAAGAATGTAGTTACTTCTGGTTTACATTACGATGAGCATTTCGTATGAGCATCCCAAGTAACTTAGGATTACGATTATAGAACGAGTTATATGTAAACATTCCTCTAACATCTTTATGGTTAATAGATAATTATTAGGAGTGTACAGGAAAAACATTTCTTAAATTAGAGACATCCGCACGCTTGTTTCACTGTGCGTACAATCCGAGGTCTGTAATTATTTGTAGTTGGATTAAAAATTGATAAAAGATTATATATAAAATGTATTTTCATCGAGTCTGTGTGATTAATGTAGAAAAATGTAACGATTGAATCATTAACTAAGTTGCGCTAATCTAATTGAATTAAATTCGTCTTTGCGTAATAAAATGACATATTAGACAAAGAGAGCTTTTTTACGTATTGTTAGAATTAACCGCGATACAACTAACAAACTCGTAAAAATAAGTAACAGAAAATGTTTTTAGTATAAGTAAGCTATAAAGATATAATATATATAATTGTTGCATGTACATTGTTCAAGATATATTCAATAAATAGTGCGTTTGAGATGATACAATTCACAATTCAGTTATCATTTAATAATAGATGAGATAACGGAAACCGGTATAAATTTAATAATTTAAGATAAGTTTTTATTTCTACGATACAGTCGGATAAGCAGCGGATTGCGAGCGATGACGATGAATAGAATAATCTCGTTTAAGCCACTCGCCGTGATGATGACGCGTTTTGTGTCGTGGCAGTTGGCTTATTTCGATAGACGTCACTTTGACATTTTCTCCTACTCGTCTGCCACGTTTGTCATCGATGATTCCTTGACGAATGAGATTGTCATTGTGAGTTGGTGGTGTAGACTGCAGGTCGATTGTCTTCTCATCTTGTTCGTCGGCGCCGCGTTCGTCGAGCCGCGGAGGTATTGGTCTCTTAAAAAACATGTATCTGATTAATTGAGGCCGTGGTTGAAAAATGTTCTCCGGAGGTAATGAATTGGAGATAATATCGATCGGCGGTGGTATAGTATCAATAGCTTGCGTTCGACTGGCGCTCATTTCGCTCCCTACTGTACTTTCATCGACTCCATCGAAATATATAGGTCGAAATATATATTGTTTTGCATCACGCGCATCCAATTTTCGAGGCAACAACGCTCCGAAATTCGACCTTTTCGACGAATCCGTTTCGATAAATCTACGATTATTTATTGGAAATATGTAACTACCATCTCCACTTTTGTGGATTTCTCTAGAGTACATGTCCAGCTGAGGCATCGATCGATCTTGATGGACAGTACGATCGAGATATCCTTCAAGAGCGTTCCAATTCTCTAGATCACGAGAAATCGCTCTTCTAACGAGCTTGGAAATTTCCTCGATATTCGCAGCTTGCAAATTTTTATCATCGTCGAAAATTGTTGAATGTTTATTGGAGAAAGATACGAGATGACTCGTAGCGTCGTAATTGCGTCGAGGTTTTATCGTTTTCCGTTGTTCTTTCGGTAACATCTCCTTATCATCAACCACAGCGGCAAACGATTCATTGGTTGAAATAGGATAATCCGCAGTTTCAGAATATACAAAGCGCTCGAAAGGCATCTGAAAACTCGTTTCCAACATCGTATTTCGATCAAAGTAGCGTCGTTTTTCCTGATGAGCGTCGCGAGTGTCCGGATAGTACGCCTCGTAAAATACCGGTCCCTTGTCCAAATTATAACTACCTACGTATCTAAAAAAAAAAAAAAAGAAAAAAAAACAATGATTTATGTCATTAGTGATTACTAATCTCTTTAAGAAACTTTTGTCGTTCAAGAAACTCCTGACAGCATATTGAATTACGGCGTAATCGAAAGTATATCTGGATCAGATATCTGGATATAAAAATAAATTAATCTGCATATTTCCCACACAGCATAAAGCACTTCCCTTCGTGCGCACATCAATGATAAACATATATGATAAAATATATCAAACATCTTTTTTTCGATAAAACAATAAGTAGTAATAAATATTGTAAATGGATTATCTTTTGGATCTTATAAAGAATTGTAAACTTTGGAGATTGGATAATCGATATGTATATTATCATAGCGATATGATAAAAAAAGAAATTTTCAATTTTATCATTGCGTATATTACCAAACGCAAATGTAGTAGTATACAGAAAGACTAATTTATTTCGATATATAACGCGAGAAAGAAATTTAAATGATTTTTCACTTATATGATAATTCAATGACTAATTGTATACTTGAAGGTACACTATAGTAAAGGCAAAGAGTAGCCTAAAGAGCAAATATTTGTGTAAAGACTAACACAAAAAATAATAATCACCTAGATGTTTTCGGATTCCACACTACGGCAGCGGCAGTAGCGACGATGGATGATACATCTATGAAAAAATATCAGATATGTATAATATTTACACCCTGTAGTAGTTCAATATCGATACGAAAATGGTACAATTTGCATACATATACCTAAACAAATAATGATTACGATCGCTGGCACTATCAGTTCACATCTCTGAGAAGCCATGACTATAATGGAGCAACGACCCACGACTAAGCTTCTTCCTCCGCCTCTTCGTCATCATCATCATCTTCTTCTTCTTCTTCTTCTTCTTCTTCTTAAAGAGAGAGAGAGAGAGAGGAGGGGAAAGAGAACATGTAGGCGCGTTATGCGTATTTTCGTAGATTCTTAAAATAAACTCTGTTTCTCTCTATAGAATGTTGAGCGCCAACTCGTTAGTGCGACATCGGTTTTTTTGTTTTTCTTTTCAAATAATTATATCGCGAATAAAAGACTTTTTTTACGATCGATAGTAAAGGAGACATGCTCGTATTATGCTCGATTAATCAAGCTCAAGAGCGCTGTGAATGAAACAGCTGTTTATCGAATCATCGCGATTAGTCAAGTCCACTATTGTCACGCGAGAATAAATACGATATATATGTGTATATATATGGCAAACCAACTTATCATGAGACAATTATAAAATTCTTTAATTAAAATAAAGTTTCAAATTGTTCTTGAATGCTTTATAGATAATCACCAAGCCGCGGAAGGAGGAAAATTAAGTATCTTGTGGGAAGACAAGATACTTAATTAAAAGTGAAACGATCGAGCTGATATATCGCTG